GCATATCAAATGCCTCGAGTGATTTGCTCTAGGAGATAACATTTCATTGAGAGAGCACAGTGGCAAAAAAGCTCAGCCTTCTGGCAAGCGTTGTACCTTTTCTCCATCCCCAAGTCTTCCTGACTCGTCACAGACCTGCATCTATCCAGACCCTACATTCTGGGCCTTTTTGTCTTCAATGTTGCCCTCAAATCTCTGCCACCGACATGTTTCTTTTCCAAACGTTTCCATCTTCCCCAGCCATGTTACTCCTCGCAAGTTTTCTTTGGACATTGCTCAGAAGAAACTTACGTGTTCTTCCCTGCATCAGAAAACAATTTTCTTCTGTTTATCATAACCACCAATGCCTATATTCCCCATTTCAGGATAATTTTAAATAAATAAAGAAAAACCTCTCACAAAAATATATTTGGAAAAGATTTTACAAGCATTTATACTGCATTGTAATATAATAAAAGCAGCAGATATTAACATAGGGCATGATATTTAAGTTGTGATGCATGGACCGTCAGCCTCAGTGTCACCTGGGAGCTTGATAGAAATACAGATTCCCAGGCCCCGCCTTAGACCTGTCGAATCAGAACCTACATTGAACATGATCTACAGGTGACTCATATGTGCAATAATGTCTGGAACACGCTAAATATAAGCATAATAAGGCTTTTAGATACCAAAAATTTTTAGTGGAATTGCTGAAAACTTTTTATTCTTTCTGTTGTACTTTCTAAGCTTTCTGCCAAGAAAATCTTTAACAAATATTATTTCAAAAGATAATTAAAATATAGTCTCAGTCAGCTTAGAGCTCACAAACCTATAGGGATGACAAACTCCTATGAAAGCCCAGAAATGAGTATGGCTAGCTCAATAAGGTAAACCAGGAGAGGCTGTAGTTTTCCCACACTATATACAAAAAAAAAAAGTATAATATTCCCACTTGACTACCTCCCAGGGATGCTGCAATATTTAACACTGTTATTTATGGAACACAGTAATATTCTCTGAGAAAAAAAAAGTGTGTAAAGAACATTCTGACAAGTAATATTTTGATGAGCATTACTTCCAGCAAATACTTTCTCCATTATAAAATGTTCAAAAGCAGGCGGAGATAAGGCGTAAGTACTGGGACTTGATAATTCTGCACGCACACTTGGTGCGACCCTCAGCAGGCTCAGGGTTGCATCCACAGAGCGCGCAGTTCACAGGGGCCAAGACGCCTGGTGCTCGGTAGCACAATAACCAGTAGAATTCTATTGCCCCGTTGTAGGCCTATGCAGAAATAAAAATATTTTTTATTTGTTCTGTTTTAAAATAATATGTAACTTTGCAATCAGTCTTTAATGTAAAAAAAATGTACTGTTCGTCTAACAGTGTAATTTGTTACTTTGCTAAAAGGATTGAAGATTGAATATTTTACTATTGAAGTACAAAGTTGGCACTAATTTTACAGAATGATTTGATACAAGCACTTTACCACCAAAAAGCATGTATTAATTGCCTCTTTAATCACCCACGAGTGATGTAGATATATGTGGCCTACTTACTGGGAGCGTGTCTACCCTGTGGGTTTACCTTTATGCTCTAGTCCAGGTCAGGTGAGATGGAGTCAGGCTTCCCAATAAAGTCCATATGTGGGCCAATATTTTCTTTAAGCCATGTTGAGAAACAAACTATAAAAAATATGTTTTGTTATAAATGATATTAAATTATGTTAAATTTTGTCCAAAAGTACATTAAATTGTTATAAAATACATACCTAGCTATAAAATATAACACACTGTAACAAAATTAGTGTTTGTTCCTGTTCCATCAATATTATACTAAGACATTTTTTACAGAGGTCTTTCTCACCACCGTATGCTTTTAAATCATCCCAGAAATTACGGCAATAAACTTTTGAAAGTACAGAGCCACCCACCCCCGCAACAACAAAAGAGGTCAAGGCAGGGTGAGGCTGGCATATACAGAAATGAGCAAACCCGCCAACATTTCAGTCAGTCAGCGATATTTATTTCTGAATTGATCAACAACAGCTCGGGGTGTAGTCTTCACTTCACGGGCAGGTTGTCATGCATTGTGCGTTGACAGGCTTCGTTTAGGGCCTGGGCCGTTGCACAGAAGGGTGGGAGGAGGCAGCAAGGGTCAAATAACAGCCTTGGAACTTTCAGCTGGGACGGTGCTAACCCCGGCCAGACTAATGACTCTGCCTTGTAAGACCTTGGAACTTCGCTGCGGGTCATCTGGAGTTCTGGAGCCAGAACAGTGATGAGCTAAAATTGTTACTTAACTAAGACTCATGAAGTACTTTAAAGTAGTGAGGTTTGGATATTTTATCCTTGAAATCTGCCATCATTTAGCAATCATCAGACTCTTCCAGAAAAAGAAGAGAACACATAACTCAGAAACACAATCTTAATGATCACCTTTTCAAAAAGTTTTTTTTTAGGGTATATATATAGGAAACTGCAATGCTTTAAGATTGATAACAGCTTCTTTTGTTGGCATATGCCCATTTTAATCTGTGGCAATTGTAATATATTTCACTTAAAACTTCGTAAGCTCAATTCTTCTTACTTAGCCAACATTCCTGTCCCCCCAGTGTTTATGTGAGGCTATGAACCTAACCAAAGCCCTGTTTTCGGAAATAATAGAATGGATAGGTGGGTCCTGGGCCAAAGTTGTCCCCAGAAGACCAAGCAGTAGCCCTAGGTTCTGAGACAGCTTGAGGCAAAGAGGCTAGAAATTCTCCGAAGGGTGGTGAATTGGAGATCAGAAGCATCCTGAGGCTCAGAAATATCCCATCTAGGCAATGCTGAGAGGTGAGGACACTGGCTGTATCACGCCTTATGGGGTGGAGTAGGCAAAGCAGTTAATTTTTGCTTTCCTCCAATCCTATTTACCTCCATGATTTTTTTTTAAAAAGTATTTTTTAGTTGTTTATTTAAACTATGTTTCACCTAAATTTTCACCTAAATTTTAAAAGAATAGTTACGACATGTAGTGCTTACTACGGGCCAGACATGGTGTTTTGTTTATTTATCAACTCATTTAATATCAACTGATTCTATAAGCTATGTACTTTCCCCTTTAACAGGTGAGGGAACTGCAGCACAGAGAAGCGAAATAAGTTGCTCAAGGAAATATCTAGTAAGTAGCAGAGGTGGGATTTGAACCCAAGAGTTAATTAAGGTCGACTGATCTAGTGCTAATTCCTGTCCTCTGCCGCTTCACTGTGTAGCTCTATTGAATGAGATATCACATAAGAAATATAAAACATTGGACCTATGCACAAAAGATGCTTAATAAATTTTAGCTCTCCTCATGTAAAACTGTTGATGCATAGGCTTACTTTTAAGGAGGGCAGACTCCATTATTGCTCAGAGATTAAGATTGTACCCTTAACAGTTAGTCACCTTGGGTTCCACATCAGCCATCCTTTACTAGCTGTGTGGCCATGGTCAAGCTACACAACTTCTGTGTGCCTGGTGCCTCATTTGTAAAATATGATACCAAGAGGAGGTAGGGTTCTCAGAGTTTGCTGTGCAGTGGAATGAGATACCATGTAAAGTTCTTGCACAACTCTCAGTATGTAGTAACCACTCATGAAATTCTGTTGTTGTTATTAGAGAGCTTATATGGACTGATGTAATACCCAGCATTCCATTGGGAAACCAGTAGACAGTAAGTAAATATTTCATGACTAAAATAGCCATATAACTTAATTCACCCAAGTTTGATTTGCTCTGGGGATGACTGCGGGCCAGAGAGATTGTATAATATTTTCCTGTGCCCTGAAGGGTGCCAGGATGATTCAGCAAACCCTCATACTGGCATTTGACAGTGATATGCTAAGCTGCTTGGGCACTGTCTGACTTTGATGTGATCTCAACTCTGACACGTTTCATGGTTTTAGATGACTGACAAACTCTAGCTGGGTCAGTCCCAAGGTGCTAAGCGTTGCTGCAGATTGGGGTGCCGCCGGAAGAAAATACAGTTACTTAACATGTGCTCACTAAATGCAATACATGTGCCTTTCTAATGTCTAGACCTTACTAAATGAGTTATTCCTTTAAAAAAGTCTATGTAACAAACATAATGTTTGCAACACTCTCCCTTTGAGGTAGCATAAATTCTGTGAATAGTTTTGATGTTTTGTGTACTTAGCTCTTAGATAATTTGTGTATTACTAACTTTATTAGTGTAGTCTATTCATGCTGTGATTTATTCACCTAACAAATACTTATTAACAACCTACTGTATGCCAGGCACTGTTCTAGGAGTTGAGGACATAGTTGTAAACAAAATAGATAAAAATTATATCAACCAACAGAAAATTTACATTAGAATTATATTCTTTTAATGTAACAATACTGTCCTAAAAATACCATGAAGTTGCTAATCAATTTTAATAACCAGAACTTCTAAGTCTCACAATCTTTACTAAGTTGTAAATATAATTGAAACATGCTATTGCTTGTTTTAAAAATATGTATCTATGAAACTGCTGCTCAATTGTTATGCCTGTGAAAACCTGATGGTAAAATCTGGGAAATTTAACAAAGGCCTGTTCCTCTAAACCAGTATTTTTGAATAGTATTTTTCCATGAACTATTAATAGGTATTAAGCTTAAAAGCAAAAAGTGACTTTTTTACGTAAATAACTGGAAATACATTGGTGCATCATGAATACGCCAGCACGGAGCATGATACTCAGGGCTTGTGAAACCTGTTTGATTGCAGGACCCTTTTTCTAGTGGATTTCTTTTGTTGGACAATTGTCTTACTCAACACATGTTAGAAAGGATATTTGCTAAGCCTCCTCCGTAATTTATTTTCATGGAATAAAGGAATTGTAGAAAATGGTAGGCTCATAGAAAAGAAAATCAAAGAACCAATTTTTCATCAAGTTTTGTAAGATGAACGAACAACGGGACGATAAAAAGATCAATAGCTTCCCTTCCTAAATAGCATCCATATCTGATGCATGTCCTACATGCTTCTAGGTGCCTCATTCTTCCTGTTGATGGCAACGGCAAACCTGCGCCTCCCTTATTCTACACGTCTGACCTTGTGTGTGGACCTGCCCTACACAGCATCCCCCTTCCAAAAGCCTCCGTGGTAAGACACCCTCCTTTTGTAGGCCTTGCTCACACCACAAGCTATAGGAATGAAAGACTGTTTTTGTTTTGCAACGGGTAATACATACACATTGCTCAAAATTCAAGAAGTGCAAGAGTAAAGATCTCTATTCCACTGCAGTTCTTCAACCACCCAGTACAACCAATGTGGCTAATTTTCAGTGTATCCTGCCAGGGATATTTTATTTGTACATAAGCCACATATGCCTGTGTATTTTCTCCACCCACTAATGTATATTATATATAATATTTACACTTTCTCTTAACAAGTTACATCAGAAATTACTCTGACTAGTCCTTGAGGAGTTTCACATCTTTTTTGCTTCATGTGTACAAAGTATTCCATTCAATAGATGAACCATAAGTTATTTAACTGGTACGCTATTGATTAACATTATTATTTTCAATATTTTGCTATTGCAAAGATTGTTGCAAAGAGTAGCCTTGACATATTCATAAACCCACATGCCTGAGAGTATGTTTGTGCATGCATTCCTGAAGTATAGTTTTGAGTCAAAAGTATGTGCATTAGTAACTTCACAGATACTGTCAAACTACCTTCCACAGGAGTTATACCTATGCATACACTACAAACAATGTATACAAGTGCTTCTTTTGCCTATCCCCATGACAACAGTGTAGCATATCATAGAGTAATTTAAATTTGGAATTTATCCCTTGAAGCAGCAATAATTTTTTAGTTAAATATACTTATATAGAAATCATTCAAGAATATATCGCCTATTTCTCTTGCCTTCTTGTACAACTTATATTCAAGTTAATCCTCCTAATCTTTCTTTGATGTTTGGCTGTCATCATTATGAACATAATTCTGTGCTCGAATGCAGTGGTACCTTCAGGGCTAGTGATGACTACAGGCTTTTTACTAGGAGTGGGACTGGGTTCAGAATACTATGACTCTGTTGCTTTTCTGGCTACTTAATTTATTTTAGCTGTTGCTTTTTATGTGTGTGAATATTCCTTTGGCTTCTAATCTACCATCTGAAGAAGGGAGCAGAGAGGTCCCTAGTCTTCAAAATAGTAGTTACCACTTACTAAGTGTCCTTTATGTTTCAAGTAGATGTTTATATGTGTTATCTTATTAAATCTTTATCGAGGTCTTACATGGTAGATATTATTTGTGTCTTACTGGTAAATTTTACTGATAGGCTCTTGACATTTATAAATGGGAGATCTGGGTTTCAATATTCCAATGACCTTATCAGTTCTTTCCTTCCTCGAGAAGAAAGTGCATGAGTTTTATGACAACTGTTTTCCTCTCTGTTCAAAGACTCTTTTTCCCATTTATGTTTGGCATCTCAGATGTGTTCTTGGGGCCTGGGGTTACTCTACGTGTGACCTCTGGAAGCACAGGGCACTCCTGCACATTACTTTACACTCAATATGCTTTTGAAGCCTGAAGCTAGGAGTATTTTAATGTGAACCAAAATAACTAAAGAGCCAGGTCAGCAATCATTTTAGCAATAAATGTCTGCTTCATTATATTGTGAACTCTCTAATGAAATCCTTTTCAAAGGATTTTATGTGAAGCTTGTGACAAGCAGTATATTCTGTTTTTGAATTAGCAAAGAGAGTCAGAGAGCTTGGCATCTGTGGCATACATACAGGTGGCTGATTTACCATTTCCTATCTGGCTAGGCCACATCTGAAGTTCCTTTAGTGTTGCTTTATCACAAGGTGGGATTTTGCCTCATCTTGACTACCTTAGTGCCACAGACTATCAATGCCCAAAGCTCCGAAATGTTGGGTTCGGTTTGTTTTCCTGCCACTTCACGTTTAATGCACTAGCTCCAGAGCATTCTGAAGCAACCCTGAAAGGGGTTCATTTCCCCTCCACCTTCTTGGTCTCCAGCGCCTATATCCTGAAAGGCCAGGTTCCCCTCAGGTTAAGGAGAGTCACTGAGTTCTGTTTTGGCACCCAAGATTTGGGTCTCTTGCTGTGAGCGAGTTTTTCTGGGATTGCCCTGAGGAAACTCGCACTGGGCGGCTGCACGGCCTCTGCACACAAAGGCAGGTCTGAGGGGTCCAGAGCCCTGGCCTGCATTCCTTCACGCCCTCGACACAAACCTTCTTAGAGTGGCAGACTGCGCAGTTCAGGGGCAGGATATCTGGTGTGTAAAAGCTGTAAAATATTACCCTTCCTAACCCCCTACTCAACAATTATTTTTACCTTTACCAGTTCCCCTTTAAAAGCAGGGATTATCTAAATTCTGAAGGAAATTGTTAAGCATTGGGATTTTTTTCCTTTTAATTAAGATCACCTAAGTGGGATATCATGGCCTCTTGGTTCATTGCCCATTTTGAAACCTCAACAAAATACTCAAACTCATGATAACTAAGACTTCGCAAAACAGACAGTGAACACATGAGCACTTGAGGAATTCGTCCTTTCTGAAAAAGCCAAAACAACAACAACAAAAAAAGAAACAAAAAGAGGAGTACTTTGAATATTTACTACATTTTATTCCTTTAAAAAAAAGGAAAATAGAAGCAAATAGCCACCATGGACCTAGAATAAAAGTAAACCTAGCAATCTGTTAGTGAGTATTCTCCTCTTTTCCCAAAATACTGCTTTTAACTGGTTGTTCCAGTTCAAATCCTTTTGCAAACTACATTGTATATTTAAAAACCACAGTTTGTTAAACTCCTAGGAATAGAAGTAATGGTGATTTTTCTCTTTCAAATACTACTACAGACCCTAGTTTTACTGTTAAGAAATCACTTAGAAATCTAAAAACACGCATTGGCTGTGTTAAAAAGATATTATGAATTTGTAAGGTGTCGAGGCTCTGTAATGTGATTTATGAATGTTTATTATGCTTTGGCTTCACATAGTGTGAGATGTGATTACAAGATAATGAAATGGGTTTTTGTATGTGGTGTGAGAAATCAGTTTCATTACTTTATATTTCTATAGTCTGACACACTTATAAAATTGGTCTAAGTTGTCAGTTCAATGGCAAAGCTATTATATGCATTTGGATGTCTTACATTCAAAAGGAGGCCTTGTGGAGACTATTTTCATGCAATGGGCACTTTGGGATGCTAGTGAAATCTGTGGACTTCTAATTAAAAATTTTTAAATACATAGATTTTTTTCAAAGAAAAATTTGTGTTGACATAGGTTTTCCCCTTCTTCCCCACTACTTGCAGTCACCTCTCCAATTTTTGTTACCAAGACCTACACACGACAGAGATAGGCCTGCAGGTCAGACTCAGACTGATGGCTCTCTCTCCTGTGGGGAACTTTCCTTCTGGAAGAGCTTTAGTGAAGATGTGGGAGAAGCCGGGTCCTAAGCCTGGACCTTGCCCTCAACCCCAGCTACTCCCTGCTGGGCCCACATGCCCTCAGGATTCCTACTCTCTTCCTTTCTTCTTGTTTTTTTCTGTCAGGAGGAAAATCCCGGTGATCACTAAATGCATTTTTATTGAGTAATTTAAAAGGTTACTTGTATTTGCAAGAGGTGGTGTTTGGCTTTGTTCCTTTGACTTTTGTTATTGCCTTCTGAGCATAGTGGGTAAGCAGACAGTGATCATTTTAATGGGTTTGAATATCTATGTGTGTTGTAAGGGAAAGACTTTATTTCTTTTTTTCCTGAAGGAAACATAATTTGAAGAACTTGGAGGCAATCTGCTAAAAAAAGAGAAGAGAGGACAGGGAAAGAGAAGACAAGATGTGAGAAAGCTTCATGATGTATGATATAGCTCTTTTTAAAAAATATCAGGATACTGTTTTTCATAGTGAAATGTAGAAGTAACTAAAGTATCACATAAAAAAGATTAATTTAGACACTGATGTTATATGCATTTAACAAAATACTATACAGCCATTAAGAGCAATGGTACACAGGGTCAGGCAAAAGTAGGTGTGCAGTTGTGAGTATATAAAACAGAGTTTATTCTTTCTCTTCTTTCTTTTTTAAAAATTTAAATGATATTTTATTGTTTATGCTACTATAATTGTCCCAATTTTCCTCCCTGTGTCCCCTCCACCAACCTCCATACCCCCTCAGGCCAATATAACTTTTTATTGTGCCTGCAAATCTCCACTAAATTCATGTTTCTTGGGCTGAGTCGGCGGGGGGTGGGGGGTTGGGGTGGTGAAAATAGGTGAAGGAGGGACGTTTTGTGTGTGGAGCACAGCGTGCCTGCATTCAGGAAGCAAAGCAGAGTGAGTAGAGCAGAACTTTATGCAACGTTTCGCCAGTCCCCTCTGGAAGAATTAATGAAGACAGTGTCACATGTATGTTGTGCTCCAGGGGCTGAAAGGGTCTAGATGACATGTAAATTTCACATTTAAAGGTGCTTGGGGACAGGAGAAAACAAAAGAAACAAACTCTGTGTTTTTGATTTGAGGTAGCTATCACTCCCAGCTGTCATTTTTAAAAAACTACTTATACAGGAAAATAATCCGATTCATTTAGCCCTTTTTCAGAGACACAGTTAAATCTATAAAAGCCTTTCAATGAATCATTATCTGTTTGCCTCTCTTTTCATCAGTACTTCTTTCATTTGAAAGAAGTTGTTGATGCTGCAGGTGAATTCGCTAGCAGAAGAGGCAGAGAAGCTATTGTGGGGAGTGGATTTCAGGGGCAGGCCCTTTGGCTACTTATAAATTTTGAGTTCTTAACTTTTCCAAGCTTCAATTTCTTTATCGGCAAACATATCTCGTAGTGCGGTAGGCAGTGAGACAGACATGATGAACAGAGCAGGGACGGTGGGTCAGGTACAGCGGGCCGCCAGGGCGGAAATCCCCAGGCGCCTAGCAATGGGCAAAACAGGGCAAACAGAACCTTACTTACCCCCAGGGTAACCTTTCTCTGGTTTCTACTGTGGGAAGCAAGACTCAAAGAGAGAAATGCCATACATTTAAGGGGGCATTTTATGCCTGGTGGCCACAAAGCTTGACATGCTTACTACAGTTTGAGAATGTATGGTACCTGGCACTTAATGAAAGGT